ATCTGGACTTAGTCAGACTGCGTTTTGGTTGCTTGTCGCTGCAACCTGTTAACTGCAAGTCGATCGGTTGATGTGTCACCGACCGCTGTGTGTGATTCTCTATTCAGAGCAATTTGGAAGCGATTGGAGCGAACGAGTGCACCTCAACAATCAAAACAGTTTGATTTCTTGCAACTCCGTCGCAAGCACCAGAATCGCTACGGGTTGCAGTTGCATGTTCCCGTAGATGAGCGATTTCACAGCTATTTTTACAGCATTTCTAGAATCGCTGTAGTTGCTATGAAAAGCCGCAGGTCTGTGGCTAGGCTTTAATCCCAGCGATTGTTTCGTCGCGGGAGTCCTCCACTGTCTCATGTATGGGAGCTTTTGCAAGTTCTTTTTCCTTTTTCCAGCATGTCGCCTCGGTTTCTCCTTATTGGCGAAGTTTCGTAGCAAGGAGTTTAGTTGAGAAGTCGTATGATGCAACGCGGGAGATTTTTTTTTTATGGCGTAAAAACAACTTTGCAATCCGTGTTTGCAAAGCTCTCTAGCGATGCAGATCCAATTATCGACGCGAGAACTGTATGAAGCGTGGTACGTTGCGTTCTTAATGCGTACGCGTGCTGTGTCGTGCGTGCGCGTCGTGCGTGTTGTGCGTGTTCGTGCAGTGTTAACTGCATTAGCGTGCGTGTTACTGCGGCGTTGAGCTTATCGGCAAAACTCCTTCTCTAATCTACTCTAAACCTTTCTAAAAAAGTCCCGCTAACTAATTTTTGTGGTGTTTTGTCTTTTAACATCTTTTTTTTTGTCTGCTCTCTCCCGTCCTCTCTCACATTTCTCACTCACGTTTTCTGTATGATTTGGCTGTGTGCCGTTGGTGCGTGGCGTGCGTGCTGTTTGTGCGTGCGGTTGCGTGCATGCCGTGCGTGCGTGTGTGTGCTTGCACGTGCTGTGTTGTCCTGCTGTCTCTCCTCTCTCACTCACTCTCTCCCGTCTCTGCTCGCTCCCTCTCCTGGTTCCGGCTCTCCACTCTCCTCTATCTCCCTCTCTTTCGCTTCTCTATCTCTTACACGTGAATGTTTGCAACTGGGATTTTTTTTCCCTGCATTAATTCTCGCTAGTAATTATTGGTTGTACAGTTAATAAGCTGTTATAAGCTGTTGCGTATCCCATGGTCAGCTGCCACACCACCGACGTAACCACACCTGCTGTATCAATTTGTGTTGTTGTGTGTTTTTGTGCTTAACATTATGTTAATTATGCTTTAATACGTTAACGTTGAATTTGATGGGATGATTTGCCCGTTCAAGTCGAATACGTGCCTTGCCGTTTTCGATATCCTGTCTGTCGATTTTTGCGTACGTGCCTTCTTCTCTCCTACATTAGATGAACATTTTCTTGTCAACCCCTCCCCCACTCTCTCCTCCCACGGGAACGATGCGCTGCTTGCTCAGACGCCATAGCGCATGCATTGCCTCGCATCGTGACGTATACACACCAGGAATAATTTCGCTGTCAAGTTGTGTCGGTCACACCTTCGCTTTTTTCGCGTGCAAATCATCTGATCTTTGTGCAATCGGTTCGTCTCCTCGTGAGACATCTTTTAGGCAGAGGACGAGGCTTAAATGGCGGGAATTTAGCTCTTACTTCTGCCCACCACTACCCCCGTCTGCCTCTCATCCATGTTTTTGTCGGTGCGTGGCGTAATGACCATCCTCTTCTTCTTCTTCCTCTTCTTCTTTCTTCTTCTTGCTTCTTCTTCTTTATTCTTCTTCTTCTTTCTTGAGCGAAAGGAAAAGGGGAAGAAGGAGCGTTGGCTGTCTTCTTCTTCTTCTATCTTCTTCATCTCTTCATTCATCTTTTCTTCTTCTTCTTTTTCTTTCTTCTTCTTTTTCTTCTTCTTCTTCTTGGGTCACTAACTACGCTCGACCTAGCAGCTGCAGCCACATAGGACCGTTGCACGGTTGTTGAAAGCTTAAGGTTTCCAGGACCCGGTTCCACAGACGTGGATTAACTCTTAACTCTGAGTTGAATTCCTTAACTCTGAGTTAAAAGTTAACTCTGGTATGAACCGTAGATTAAAGTCTTATTAAAGTTAATTCCGTTCCAACAGTCGGGGATTAATTTTAACTGCCTGAGTTTAAAATGCCTACTTTGAGTTAAATTTAACTCTGGTGTGAAACCTAGATTGAAAGTCTTAACTCAGGGTAAAAGTTATCCACGTCTGTGGAACCGGGTCCAGGTCTACACGGCTCTGGTAATAGGGCATTCCAGGAGATGTTCCCTCCCCTGCTAGTCTGAGAGCGACGCACTTAACCCTCACACTTGCGAAAAAATGGTCTGGTGCATTCTTACAGGAAGCGGGTGCCTGTGTCTAGCGGCCTCACTCCCACGTGAATCTCTTGCACTGTGTTAGCTGCCAGCATGAAGGGCTTGTCTGGCTGCAGCTGCATCTCGTCACAGTGAGATGAGTATGCACACACTAGCCTCGGAGCCTGCGTGCCCCTGTAACAACACGCATGAATCATGTACGGTAAAATACGCTTGCTACTCAAGTAAGTAAGTAAAAACTTTATTTAACGACGGTAAAACATGTTAGATTAAACAGACACAATAAAATGACGCGGACCTATCTGCCACATGGCCGTCTCACAGCAATAGAACAGTTAAATATTAAATAAATACACGATTAGTCAAGCAGTTCTAGTATAATCATGTATGAGATTTCACTCAAAGTGCCCCTGGAGCCACACGTGTGAATCATGTAAGGTAGAATACGCTTGCTACTTAAAAGTAAATTTAGTAATGATCAAGTTTTCACGAGCCAAGCCATCAAAAACCCATCCGATCATGGCAAGCTCAACCACGACTTAACAAAAAACGCTAAAATAATGCCAAACCAAAACTAAAATGCAGTCAATTAAAACCGAAAAATACATGAAAACAAACGCAATAATGGCAGGATATCTAGCAGAAAAGAAATCGTAGTGTTTTTTTTTGCCACCAACAGATGGGGCCACTTACCGCACGACGAGAGAAAAGCGGCTTGTTTGGCCCTCGACGCAGGACACGTCAACACGTTGCAGCGCATGCACGTATAGCTGCCATGTCTGCAGCGGCCGTGCTGTGTACGCGTCTGCGTATATGCAGACAAAAAATCGCCGAACCTGTGGTGATGCCCCGCATGCCACCTGGTGAGAGAAATGCAAAACGCTCTACATCCTGATCATCACTGTTATGTGCGAAGGTGTGCGACACAACTTTGACAGCGAAATTTCTCTGTGTGTATACGTCACGATGCGATGCAATGCATGCGCATGCGTCTGAGCAACACGCATGTTCCCGTGGGAGGGAGAGTGGTGGGAGGGGTGACAAAAATGTCATCTAATGTAGGAAGAGAAAAGGCACGTACGAAAAATCGCAGACAGGAATATCGAAAAAGGCAAGGCACGTATTCGACTGAAGGGCAAATCTCCCATCAAATAACGTTACGTATTAAACATAATTACATAATTTAAGCACAAAACACACAACAAACAAATTGATATGAGCAGGTGGTGGTAGTGGTGGTGGTGGCAGCTGCATGGGATTACGCACAGCTTATAACAGCTTATTAACTACAAACCCATAATTTACTAGCGAGGAATTAATGGCGGGAAAAAAAATCCCCGTTGCAAACATCACGTGTAAGAGATAGAGAAGGAAAGAGAGGGAGATAGAGGGAGGAGAGCGGAAGAGAGAGGGGAGCGAGAGAGAAGGGAGAGAGTGAGAGAGAGAGAGAGACAGACAGACACACACGCGTGCACACACACACGCACGCACGCATGCACGCACGCACGCATGCACGCACGCACGCACAAACACGCACGCACGCACGCACGCACGCACACAGCCAAATACAGAAAAAGTGAGTGAGATGTGAGAGGGAGGGAGGGAGAGACAGAAAAAAAGAGTTAATAAGAGACAAAAACACCACAAAATAGTAGCGGGACTTTTTTAGAAGGTGTTAGAGTAGATTAGTAGAAGAACGTTTTTGCCATAATGCTCAACGCACGCAGTAACACGCACGCTAGATGCAGTAACACGCACGAACACGCACAAACACGCACGCACGCGCACGCACGAACACGCACGAACACGCACGCGACGCATTAGAGACGCACGTCACGTTAATCAGCTTTCGCGTCGTAATTGGATCTGCATCGCTAATGAGCTTTTGCAAAACGGATTTTGCAAAGTCGTTTTTTCCGCATAAAAAAAAAACTCCCGCCGTTGCATTCATACGACTTCTCACTAAACTCCTTGCTCGAAACTTCGCCAAATAAGGAGAAACCGAGGCGACATGCTGGGAAAAAAGGAAAAGAACTTGCAAACAGCTTCCCATAATGAGACGTGGGAAGGACTCGCGACGAAACAATCGCGGGATTAAAGCCTAGCACAGACCTGCGGCTTTTTCATGCAACTTGACAGCGATTCTAGAAATTGCTGTAAAAATTGCTGTGAAATCGCTACGTCTACGGGAACGTGCAACTGCAACCCTTAGCGATTCTGGTTGCTTGCGACGAGTTGCAAGAAATCAAACTGTTTTGATTTTGAGCGACTCGTCGCTCCCAATCGCTTCCAAATTGCTCTGAATAGAGAATCACCACACGCGGTGACACATCGACCGATCGCTTGCAGTTACAGGTTGCAGCGACAAGCAACCAAAAATCGCAGGTCTGCACTAGACTTAAAGGGACTACGTCACGAATTTTCTATGGTAAAATTTGTAAAAAAAATTCCAATTTTTTTACATTAAAAGTAAGAACTAACGGGACTAAACAAATCGTCAAATTCTTACCTGATAAGATTGTTTCTCAACTAGTTAAAAATCCAAAAAACCTGGACGATTTTAATTAATGTTCTCAACATTAATTGCTTGCTATGGGCTATATATGAGTCACGAGTGTATGTTCACATCGAACAATATAGTAAAATAGGAAGTATAATGCAGCAATTTAACGATAAAACGTGAACAGAATTACTTATATTTTGTGAAAAAGTGGAAATGTTTTTTTTATTTTTTACTATTTACGGTGACGTAATCACTTTAAGTCTGTGATGCGAGCGTGGGGAAAATGTGCGGCAGCATCACGTACAGACGTAGGTGGTGACGAACAAACTTAATTAGTTCCTCGAGCGAGGTGACACCAGGGGCCGGTTTAACGAAGCGTAATTAAGTCCTGAATCATGTGTGGCGGTGGCACCGGTCACCACTGGTTCATTGGCGATGTAATTGTGAGGTAGCTCACTGGGAACCACAGACATAGTATGGGTTAATATTCCGTGTTTGTGACTGTATAATTATTTGTGATGTCTGCTGTCTATTAGTGTGCGTTTTCGTAATGTTTTGCCTGCTTACAAATTGATAATGTAGATAGACAAGTCCCTACATGGGGGCCGCCATGTTGTGTGCGGTAGTACCACAGACTAACGGATACAGTATCTGTTAGATACAGACTACGGATACTGTATCCGTTAGTCTGTGGTAGTACCCCCCCACCCCTCTAGCGGCAGAGAGTGGTGCGGACCGTATGAACAGCTAGTTGTAGATAGAGGCGTGAAAAGAGTCGGCGAGTTCCTCTCTGGAATCGAGTGAGGGAGAACTCGCGGTATGTAGCCTCGTCCACTCCGTGTGTGTGCATGGAGTGGAGCGGCCTGTTAAGCTGTGTGTGGCGAGAATGGTGACAGTTAGCGTACGAGTACCCATGGTGGTAGAGGTACTGTACGGTTACCGTGTTTGATGTGGCTTGCCTCATGGGTGAGGGAGACAGGTGCGTCGGTTGGTGAGTGGGCACTGTCGTATTGTCCTGTTGTTGTGAGGCAAGTAAATATTACAGTACTAGAATATTAAATAGGTTGGTTTAATATTCCTACAGTATCGAGAAATATTAACTCTGCCCGAATAGGGGGAAAGCTGGCCTATTCGTGCACGGCTGCACGAGGGGGGGGGAGGCTGCCGGTTATTTTAGCCCTTTGCCCGGCTCCGTTCATTCCATTTGTTTAACCTCTGTGATTACCCCGGATATACACTTGTTAACCAACGTAACGCAAGGCCAGCAGGCAGGGTGGGGTTGCCCCGTTGTTGTGCTTGTGTGTGTCGTCCCTCGTCTGGCATTGTTGACTAATTAAACGACGCACCGGAACCGGAACACGGTGGGACGGGTTATTGCGGAGGGAGCGCAGTAGCACTGAGGCGCTCTGGCGGCTAGCGGAGTCCGGGTGGCGACGATACGGCCATTTCAACGCCCCCCGGGCACAACAGGTGAGTGTGCTTACCTAAGGTTACTGCTGGTCAGTACGTTTCGACCGGTGACGCCATCGGGTGTCGCCAGGAGAGCGTAAAAACGCTACACAGGATTAAATCACTAATCATGATTAACTTCCCGTACTTATATTGAAGTGACTGTTTCCCGAAGCGTTATTAACTTTAATCATGATTAAGTTAATCACAATATTTAATTCTATCAGTGATTAAATCCACTAATCATAATTAGTTGCTAGTACTAGTAGTAGTATGTATGTAGTACTAGTATATTAAGTACACTGCAGATTTTACAATTGGAAATTTTACTTCAATTTTTTCCCAAGGAAATTTAAATTATCTAAGATTAGCTGTACTAATTTAGTCATTATACGTTATAATTGCAAATTAATTCCTTTTCATGTACCGAATTTGCAGATACTTTTGGCGTTGTCCAACATTTTGAATACAGTGTAATTCATGCTTAAGTCGGCTAATTATGTGATTAGTTAAATATGTAATTAAATCGCTTCGGGAAACAGATTTTTAAGTATGATTAACTAATCATAATTACAGGATTAATTATGATTAATTATGATTAATTATGATTAGTGATTTAATCATAATTAAAGTTAATCACGCTTCGTGAAACCGGCCCCAGGAATCTATCACCCACTCCACGCTAAAGGTCAGACAAACCGTGAATCAATTCCTGGTGAGATAAGGGAAGAATTAAGTCGAACCCGCAGCTGAGAGGCGAGAAACTATCAATCTATTTTACGCCACAGGTGTGATGTATCAATCAAATTTTGGGAGATAACCCACATATAAATTCCACGCCACAGGTGTAAAAAGCGATGAATTATTTGTAATCCACTGGTGAAAGAAGTCACGAACCAATCCCATGCCACAGGTGCGAAGGAAATAATCAAATCCTCTCCACAGGTAAGAGGAGCAAATGATTAACTCCATTCAACCGAAGAGAGAAGCTGTGAGTCCCCTCCTATGCACAGGTAACGAAAGGGACAATTAAACTCACCTTCACAGGTGAGACAACCTACGAATTAACTACCTTCCCTAGACGACAGGAGATCACGAATACACCCGCTTTAACAGGTGAGAGAAGCCACGAATCTCTTCACCTTCACAGGTAACAAAAGGGACGATTAAACTCACCTCCACAGGTGAGACAACCTACGAATTAACTACCCTTTCTAGACGATAGCAGATCACAAATACACACAAGTGATCACAGGAACACACGCATGCAACAGGAATGAACATCACAGGAACATCAACAGGAACCGGAACATGAGACATCACAAGAACATACACAGGTGAGCGATTGATTGATTGATTGATTGCGTGAAAAGAAGCCCTCTGCGTATATACCTTGTTGGAGCCGTGTCCTCCACCTACAGGAAGCTGTAGCTCGAACACCTTGGAGATGACAGGTGGTCGGCAGGACAGACAGACGAGCCACGACCGCAGCAGCTGATGAAGCTCCACGTCCACGACGTTGACAAACCTGTAAACAGCCGAGCGAAGCTTCGTCATACGCAGAGACAAAAAAAGCAAAAACAGAAGAAGAAGAAGAAGGTTCGTCCGAAGCAAAGACAAGAAAAAGCAACAACAACAAAAACGAAGACGAAGAAGAAGAATGAGAAGAAGGTTCGTCCGAAGCACGAAGCAGAGACAAAAAAAAACCCCAAAAAAAGACGAAGAAGAAGAAGAATGAGAAGAAGGTTCCTCCGAAGCAGAGACAAGAAAAAGCCACACAAAAAGAGAAGACGACGAAGAAGAAGAAGAATGAGAAGAAGGTTCCTCCGAAGCAGAGACAAGAAAAAGCCACACAAAAAGAGAAGACGACGAAGAAGAAGAAGAATGAGAAGAAGGTTCCTCCGAAGCAGAGACAAGAAAAAGCCACACAAAAAGAGAAGACGACGAAGAAGAAGAAGAATGAGAAGAAGGTTCCTCCGAAGCAGAGACAAGAAAAAGCCACACAAAAAGAGAAGACGACGAAGAAGAAGAAGAATGAG